ACCCACCAGACCACAATAATTGTAGTGAACTACCGTCATTCTCTTCATATTCCAGTGGTGATGTGTAAGTTCTACTTCTTCCCACAAACATTGTGGAATAGACTCCAAAGAGGATGCTTCCCCAATTAACCTGTTCAAGTCTACGATTAACTTATCTTCGCCACATATCCTCATAAACATTGTCTCTTACCTTTTACTCTGTAACACACTACCTTGAGTTGATCTTGGGCCTTGTAGATATTATTGTTAAAAAAAAAAAATGCTCTAAGAGGACAATAAAAAGAACTAGTAGTTATTAAACCGACTTGAAAATCTAGCAAATTTACATAACCAAAAGACATGCTAGTGACTAATTTATACCTGCTCAAGTCTTGTAGACTCCTCTGTAGATTAGGTGGTCACAGCCTTAACATACAAAGTGTTGGTGGTGTGCTTTCCATTAAACATTATTGAATAGAGTTGCTAGCGCTATCCCAATCTGTTTTGAATTCACAGTTGTCCTCTCCTAGACTGGTTGCCAACCAAGACTGAAGAGCCTTGCCTGTCCTACTATTTAATTCATAGCAGGGATGGAAACTATACAAACCAGGTTTATACTTACAAAATTTGTAGACTATAACGTCTATATTCATAAATTATCTTCAATAAAAAAAATCGTATTAAGGGCAATGATTTTTTTTTTAAATGCATTTACACATTATGTAGTTGGTATTTCAATATTTCATAATTCAGCTGGTATAACATTTCCTTAAAAAAAATTATCATAGCAAATAAGTAAATTACTTTTATTGGATTCAAATGCAAAATATTTGACATCTACAACATTAAATTCTTCATCTGTGACTTCTGAATTAGGTTAACTTTATTTGAGCCCAAAAACAATTAGCATTTATACAAATATCTTTCCATCCTGAGAAGAAGATGATTAATCTGTCATCAATTCTGAATACTATTAAAGAACTCTGAATAACTGTTAAAACACTATAATCAATATGTTAATATCCATCATAAGATAAAAAAAAATATGAAATTTGTTCAACAAGCATCTTTGACCAACTTCTACATCTATCAGTCTACAGTGCTAAAAAGAAAGTAATTTGAAAATTGCTGAAGAAAAATTCTAATATATTTAAAAATATTTGCTATATACAATAACCAATATCTTCAGACAAGACAAAATATGAGGTTCCAAATGTCTGATTTTTTTTTTTTTTTAAATTAAAATTCAGGGCAAAAACCTATTTGCACTTACTTTATATTAAAAAAAAAAAAAAAAAAAAAAAATCGCATTTTCATATTTGCCCTCTAAAAATCTTAATTGGAATTAGGCATGAGAACAAAATATCAATTTTTGTATATTTAATTTTTAAACTATCGAAAACATTTTATGAATTGATAATTGAGTAAAGAGACAGAAAAAGAAGACTGAAAATTAAGCTAGATTCCCAAGAGAAAACAGAGAAATGACTGTCTCAGAATTAGAAAACTTTACACTTATCTTTGAATAGTTTCTTTAAACATTATTTACTTTAAGAGTTCATTTTTAAAAACTAGATCTAGTTTAGGCATATTCCTGTTGAAGATGAGACCACTTTAATTTTTAAGACTTATTAAATTGTAAAAAAATAATTTTTTTTTTTTTACTAAACACTCTTAAATTTTTTTAAAACAATGCTTCCTTATACTGTCCGTAACAAAAGAAATGAAGTTACTTTATAGTTTGTACTTATCACTTTTTCAGTAAATATTTATGGTGAAAAAAACTGAATGGAAGTAGCAATGCATAATTATAACTTTAAACAAGATTTCTAGAAAAAAAATATAGTGAATCATGTTATATAGATATTTAAGAAAAATCAAATGCTTACATTATTTTGAGTTAGACATAAGGTTGTTATTTTGTTAGTTAACTTCATTAAAAGAAATTACTCTGGATTTTAATATTGCAAAATATTGTTAAAATTGAAAGCAATCATTATATCAAGACATTAATAATAATCAAAGCTATATAGTGTGAGAAATAACCAACAACCATAACATTTCCAAATCAATAAAAATCAATTGCACAAGCTTGGTTATGTTAGTCACTTTGATGTGTGGCTTCCATACAAGAAAAAAAAACTGGTGTATATGTCTGTGTGCAATTCACTAAACAATTAAAATGTTCTGCTTTTAAAAAAAAAACTCAGCAAGAGGGCAGGATAAACAAAAGACCATTAACAATACCAGTCATCATTCAAATGATGTAGTGCTGCATATATGGTGAAACTAGAAAGTACTCTATCAGTTCCTTAGAGAACCAAACAAATGGTTCAAACAAGAACTGCTCCAACTTAAGACAGGAATTAATGAAAAACACATAGAAAGAAATGATGTAATATTCCATTAGGAAGACAGCAAACAGTACGTAAAGCAGAGGTTTTTTCTTTTGGTTTTTTTTTTCCAGATGTTCTGGAAGGATAGAATTATGAAGATACATGAAAGATGACAGAAAATAATGGTATAAATTAGTAAATATACTGTTCAGTAAAAGTTTTTGAAAATTAAAAATAAGGCCCTTTTCATTTATTTATATAATATACTTAATGAACGAAACACATTTTGGTCAATCTAATCTTTTTCATTTTAAGGAGGAAAAAATATCTTGTTTGTTATACAAATGCAATTTACCCCAGTTGTTAAAAATGTTTTTGCTATCAAAAACAATGAAATAATGTTAAAAAGATTGTGCATCAAAATGACAAAACTAGCAATGTGAAACTAATGATCTCACAGAACTAATGATCTCATGTTATATATGTTCTAATGTTATATAAATATATAAAGCAATTTTTTTTCAACGTTATCAAACATGTTTCTATTCATGATTACATTTCCATTTAGGGAACTACAGAATAATTCTAGAAAGAAAAAGTTAACAAATAAACATAGTAATATGTAAATTATAGTGTTTAGCATTTTCAATAAACTAGAATCACGGATAGACTGAGAAAGAAAAAAAAAGAAAAGAAAATGGATGTGTTAACCTTTTCTATCTGACATACAGTTTAGTAAGAGCTTATATTCCTTCATTGCATCCCAGTAACTGAATTCTGAAAAATGGAATGTTAGGGATTCATGTTTTTCCATTGATAGATACAATGAGAAATTATTTTTACTAAAATCATTACAATTTTGTTATTTGACAGGTAGATTGTGTGTGTGTTTTATTTTTATTGTCATTTTCTATAGAAACTGAATCAGTTTTTTTCCATTTAGTTTAAACCATTAAACCCTGACCACCACTTTACTGGTGGTAGAGAAAAATGATGTAATGTCCAGCCATTGGTTGAATGGTGGGTGAACACTTGTAACGATTTTTATATCTACTGTAAAACATTGCATACCAATTATTTACAAATTTTGACTAAGGAGCTCAGGCAGAAGGGTTAAAAATTGTTCAGGAACACAGGGCTCAAAGAATTAAGCCAAAAAGAATGGAAATACAGATATCTAGAAAGATGACCTGAGGCTAGAATGAGCAAACAACAGTACCAAAATGGGAAGAGAGGAATTAATAAAGTTACAATAAAGGCATGGAGGAGTAATGGATGGAGGCTTAGATTGAGGAATTGGAGCAGAGTTCAAATTCCAGTCGAATCCAATACATTCACTTACGTGCTAATACCCTTGGGAAAGGTATGAATCCTCATCTTCTCCCCCAAGCTATGGGTAAAATAGCAGGACTGACTGAGTTCTATAGCCTTGGATGGTAACTGGTCTACCACAGAAAGAAATGGCAACCTACTGTGTGAAAAAATCTGCCTCGTCAATCATGTATTGCCTAAGGGTTTATCACACATGGCACATTACTGAATGACAATAAAATTTCTTGCAAGTAACTAAGGAGAGAAATTATTTCTAATCAACATTTATCAAGATTTAATAGTTTAAAAAAAAATGTATCTAGCTTTTAACAGGAGCATTTATTCCCCCCCCTCACAAAAAGATTAGAGAATTTCAATAACTGTTTTTTTTTTAGACAAATTCTACATTTTAAACTCAAAAAGTCTTATATGGTTTTAAATTTAAGCAACCTACATAACAGAGCATTCAAAATGGTTATATAAAATAAATTTTTTTTTAAATTCATGAATGTATGAATCAGTACTCAATTTTAATTAAGTTGTATTCAAGAATCAACTTCTGTCAGCAGTTACAGAAACCCATCTTTTTTTGGACAATTTTCTAAGGGAGATAACTAAAAGCGTTTTTAAGCTCTCATACTGTTAATCTCCCCTTTAAACACTCGCTACATCGAAAGATTTTTAAAAATCAATTTTACATTCAAATACAAAAGCAAGCTATCTTCAAGCAATTATTTATCTTCCTCCTTCATTATCCACTACAATAAATTTACAAAAAATACTTTTGTTTTGTGGATATACAATCTAGTCAACCTATTCATTGGATTAACGGTTTAACCTGCCTGTTAAACTCATGAACTTTTGTAATATAAATGCACATAAATGATATTTGGTGAATCAGCAGTGACTATTTCTGCGGTGTTATCAATAATAGAAGAGACCTTTTTAAATTACCAAAATTTCCAAATAATTTTAAAATGTTAATACATGCTAAATGCTTACTTGACTAATGTTGTAAACAAAACCTGTGTCTAAAGAAAAAATAGAATGTGCTCTCGATTATGACAGTATTTTCAGATATTTTTTAATTTAATTTTCAGAACATAATATACATTTTCCACTCAAGATGTTGATTTTAATATTTTTCATTGAGTAGAACATATTTAAATTTGTCAAATTCAAAACAAATTATTCATAGTTTAGTGGATAACCGTGTTTGAAATAGACGTCCTATGATTTTTTTATAATTATTAAAGTAAACAGTTTCTATCACACCTACTAGCCTATGCACTAAAGAAAACTTAAGATGTACTCTCCAGCAGGGTTTGAATCTGCATTTGAAGTAATAAAAATGTTAGACTAAAAATAAATTCATTAATTCTTTGAATGAAAATGGGGGGAGAGGGGAAGGGAGAGGGGAAGGGGAGAGGGAAAAGGGGGAAGGGGAGAGGGGGAAGGGAGAGAGGGGAAGGGGAGAGAGGGGGGAAGGGAGAGAGGGGGAAGGGAGGGGGGAAGGAGAGAGGGGGGAAGGGAGAGGGGGGAAGGGAGAAGGGCGAGAGAGAGAGGGAGGGAGGCCGAGAGAGCACACAATTTGACATTATTTTTGAATCTATTCAATTACAACATACTCAAAAAGTAAAAGCTTAATCTACACTAATGATGAACTTGAGTAGGTAAAAGAAAAGCCTGACATTCTGTTTGTCATCAGGTCATGTGAGAAACTTTTACATTTAGCCTCATTGAAAAATTAGCTTTTGATTTTATTGTGGTCATTTAGCACACCAGTATGACTTTTTCTTTAAGACAGAATCTATTCTTGTTTATTGATTTTAACAATGAACTTATAGGTGCTGGGAATGATCGAACATGTCAAGAGTTGTAAAATTTCATGTTGGTGATTTCTAACAGAATGATGTTCTACTGTGAAGTAGAACAATTGATATTAATATAATAATCAAATCATTACAATGTGAGAGATAGGCAAGATTCTCAAAATATCCAAATCAAATATTAAAAATCATTTGAAATAGGTTAAGCAAAAAATTTTGTTAAAAATACTGGTAACAAAAACATCCCATGTTTTAAATAAATTATAATGGACAAGTAATTAAAAGTGGCAACTTTGCAACATAGAATGGAAGAGATTATGGAATAAACAAAACGAACCACTAACTAATGATACCAACAACTAGTCTTTTTCTAAACAAGGTGATGCTGTGGAATTTGAAAAGTATCTTTTGTGAACATCAAACTAAATTAACGATTCAAACGTGTATAGTACCCAATTGAACTAACTGAAGAAACTATTGATGCAAAATGTTCGTTATTAGTTAAAAGAAAGGGCACAATATTCCATCAGAATACATGACATTTCATGTTTCTTTGATGACCAGACAAAAATTTTTACTATAATTATTTACCAGAAGTATTCATTTGCTTGCTATATTCAGACAAAACTGCATTTTTGAATTAACATTTTATCAGGTCTTTACAAATGATGGGGAAAATAAAAATAATTCCTTGTAAGATTGCAAAAGGCAGTTATAGAGATGTTTTTTTCCCCTTTTTCTCAGAAAATCTTTGGAGGATAAAATTAGATATTTGTGTGACTAATGCCATAAAATAGTCAAACAGTGAGTACATTTACTGTTGAGAATAAAATAATTTTTTTTTTTTTTTTTTTTAAACCAAGCAAAATTTTTACCTACCTTAATAAAATTGTTGATGGAAAGTATTTTTAAGAATATTCAAACTGAATAAATTAAATTATGACTTTACAGTAATTAAATATAAAAATGTGTTCAAATGTACTGTCTATCCAATAAATTTTTTTTTCGTTTACTTGATTATAATGATCAAATTACAATGATAGAGATTCAGGATATGAGTTGTTTATTGCGGTTAGCAAAGGCAAAGCTTTAAAAATTTCTGTTCTTACTGACCAAAACATAAACATCAATATTAAGTATGTCAACTCAAGTAGCAACAATTAGAAACAGTTGTTTTCTTTTAGTCAATAATTTGATCTAATTTGATAGAATCCTGTGTACAGTACTGTAACAAAGTGATAGTGACTCTTCACTTATTGCTGTATGTAAAACCACGAATGATGTTTGTGATAGCCAGTAAATTGATATCTAACGTGAGATCCTATTTTGGAATGCAAAGCTTAGAGTAATGTGAAAGTTATTTGTTAAATCTGAATGGATAGCAAGATTGCCCTATCTCCTCCACCTGCCCAACAAAATGGTGATTAGTTGCAATAAAAGCAATGACGATGCTCTTGAGAAAAAAAAAATAAATAAAAAAATAAAAAATAAATAAAAATTGTATTTTTTGACCTTTTGCCCTCCTGTTGCTCAGAAATGCAGAATGAGGGGTTTTTTGTCTTATTGTTTTTTTGTGAAGACTTTGATACACGCTGAATGATGAGAGAAGATGACGTTCGTACATGTCTTCATGCAGTGGCAGCAAGACAAAATTCAGAATTTGGGCTGTAAAAAAAATGGCTTTTGCATATTTTTTTTTTTTTTTAAATTTAAGCTGGGCAACAAGTAAATGAAGAGTTTGATTAGTTGTTGAATTTAAGATTCATAATGGTTGTGATCAAGGATAGAGAGTCTCAAAGGCAACCAATTAAAGATGCTTTCAGTGAGAGATCTCTAAAAACCAAAGAAATTCAATGTTTTCAAAATTTTCAATATTTTCAGAGTGGCATAAATCTGTTTGAAATGAGGTATCATGCTGAAATTTTCAGAATCAATTTCTCTGATCAATGTTAACAAATTGTGAAAACTTGGATGAAACATGAAGACCTTCAGGATGGACCCTTGTTGAATCAATATACCAGTGTAACTTAGTAATGTATGTTAAAATGTTCACAGCTAAATAAATACCCAAGCTCACCTGCTTCATGGTATACTTTTGCCTAAGTAGGTTGTGACAGGATGAATGAGCCTAGATGGCTTCAATCCTATCACTAAAAGTTATCCATGAGACAAAAAGAATATTTGGTACTTGTGGGCTGTCTGTCACCATTTTTTATAAAGTTAGATTTAAGAGGATGCTGTCCATGTACTTCAAAGCTAGCTTCTAACATTTCAAGGTTAATCATTGATACAATTTTGTTGATGCAGTCAATACTCAGAATATCAAACATTTGTGGGGATCAGGAAAGTGGAGGAACAACCATCACAAAGGATTGGTATGAACCTTGAGACCTACCTTGCCCACTTCATGTAGAGAAGGCAACTACCCGATGGAGTCGACCCAGTCAATGCCATTCTGCAGGCTATCGCCATATTCATGCCATCCAAATAATATATATATATATATATATATATATATATATATATATATATATATATATATATATATATATATATATATATTCTTACTCATCTGTATTTATGAAAAAGTTGTAAAATTAATTTTAAAACTGGCAGCAGATAACCCACAAGTACTGATTATTTATTTTAAGTTATTTACTCAAAAGTCTAACTTCCTTACCGAAACGAAGAAAAAAAAAAAAAATTTAGCTAGAAAATTTTACAAAATAAAACTCTAGACTGAACAAAAACAAAACTCTAAACACTGAATGTATTTTGATTACATCCAGGCAATTTTCAATATAAGTAAATGAAATGGGTGACTTAGTAGTAGTTTTGGTCAGACCGTGGCAGTAATGTATTATAATCACTCAGCTCATAGTTACATGATCAATTCCTGAGTGAACAGAGTCTTGTAAAAAAACATGTATACACATTACTTGCTGAGAAAATATCAACAAATAAAATACAAGATAATTTTTCCTCTCTTATTTTTCCCTAAGTAAGAACCTGAAAAACTGAAACTGCTATAAATATTGGGTGACTCAAGATTTTCACTGCATTTGAACCTATAACATTCAATGTAAACACCATCAATGATTATAGAAAATTAAATGTAAGATAAAGCAGTTTTTCAGCATTCTGAAGGAAATCCCAAGAAACTCTGTGTGTGTGTGTGTGTGTGTGTGTGTGTGAGTATATATATAATTCATGCTCAACTGGAATCCCACTAGGGAATGATTCAAGCGGAATTGAGAAATGTTATAGTTTGATAAATGAAAAGAAAATGTGAGAAAATGTTTCAATCTCTAATTTGAATAGAGTTAATGACTCAGACAAGAGTTACTGACCAAGATTTTGACTGACTGAAATATTATAACTGCTAGCAAATGACCAGGCAAACAATTTTCAGCTAACAACATTCTAATAGTTAATGGTAGGTGTGAAACTGTTACACCATGTTTATAAGAGGTACATATGGAAAAACAATAAAGATCTTAATTCATTTGTAAAACTTGTGAAAAATTTATACATTTTTATTAACCGACTTTCTTGAAAGATTGCTGTTGATCAATAAAATATATTTCATCCTGAACTACTTAAAGTTGAAAATAATGGTTAAAATTCAAGCCAGTCTTTAAATACTAACAATTTTAAATGCATATGTTACATAATTTTATTAATTTTGCTTTTTTTTTTCAAAACACATAAAAAATAATTAAAAGTCTTAGTTTAATTGGGGCAAATATATCTATAGAACACATCTCATTGAGGTCTGGGGTGAGCTTAAGTTCCAACAGGTGTCCAAGGCAAAACCGAGTGAACATCCATGGATTGAGATTGACAGAAATTCAGGGGCTACTCTTTGATGATGCTCAATGGGATTTTAAACTAGTCAGCACAAGAAACAAAGTACCTGGGGGTCAACAGAGCTTTCTTGGAACCAGTATATCATCGCAATATGACAGAAACTTATGTTATCTTGCTGGAACAAATTAATACCACATGGATATTACAGGTGAGTATAAAAGAGAGGTAAATAGCCTGCAACCAGATTCGTATATGTTGCATTTATCAAGATTGACTAACTCCCTCCTGCTTCAGTAGATCTTTGAAAAACTTTAAAAAAACACATGCCCAGACTATTAAAAAATGACCAACAACTTGCTGACAGGCTGGATGCAACACTTCTTGCAGCTTTCACACAAACCTTACCAATGGCCTGAAAGAGCAGGGTTGAAACACGAATCATCTGACCAGACAATACTCCGGTTGTTTTCCACTGTTCAATGGCAATGTTCTCAGGCCAGGTAAAGTGAAGTAACCAATGCTCTATTGTCAATAATTCTAACTACTATACCCTATGAAATAGGTTTTATGCTATCCAGTACATTAACCAATGTGTTAAATTGGGATGTGATTAGATGCAATATACCCACTAGGGTTATGACTTTTTTGTGACCCTATATTCCTGTATCATAAATCAATGAAATTTTGTTCAAAAGTAATGAAAAAAGTGTTAATTTGTTTTAGTTCTTGAAAAAGGTCACCTCCAAACTGAAAATTTGATTTTACCATATATGCAACAAAGTTAAAATTCAAAATATTTCTGAAGTTTTTGTTCAATTTGCTAATGATGTAATTGAATAATACTTATGCATTTTTAATACATTTAACAGTTTATAGCTATAGCACAACATACAACCTTACAAATAAACTAAAACAAATTCCAGAAGGCTCCAGAAAGATACTTATACAGGATTTTAGAAATTTTATGTTG